AGACTGATCAACTATTACACCAGGATCTCTTTCTTTCATGACACTGTTAAGGCCATTACCATCCAAATTATACTTATAATTCAAATATGATAACCCACATGCACTATCTTGCATTTATTATAATTAAAACCCATTTGCCATTTATTTGCCCAATTTACTAAATGATCTAAATCTTTTTGTAAATCAGCAGCATCCTCTTCACAGCTAACAATACCCAATAACTTAATATCATCTGCATATTTAAGTAATATATTGACCATTCCTTCATAAATGTCATTGATGTAAATCAGAAACAGCAAAAGTCCTAGGACTGAGCCCTGAAATACCCCACTTGTAAACATTAATCCAGTTTAACTGAACTCCATTTGTAGCAACTCTCTGTTTCTTCCATCCAGCCACTCTTCTGCCCATTTTATTAACTGCTGTAATCATAACGGCAAAATTATAATTCGAAAATTACTTGATAATATTTTTCGAAATCAAAATATAAAATTCTTCAATTATCCATATCATGAATACAATGTATTAGACGCAATATTTCAGAATACCATCAGTCTACTGTAGCATTTAATCATATCTGTAGCAATAAATTCATATTTGTACGTTTTTGTTTTGTTTCTATTTACTGTAAATATTTCACCATTTCTTCTTCCACCAAACCGAATTAGTAGCATTGTCTTCTAGGTTTTAAGTATTAACGTTAACTATGTTTGTTTGTTTTTTATTACTTACAGGAATGATAAACACGTTTTTATCATCGTCATATTTTATCAAACTGGACAGATTATCATATGCAGTCTATTTAATTCATGTCCCTGTTCATATGATTTATTTCTATCAGAAGATACACACAACTTCCTTTCAAGGGCTAGAGTTGGTAAGTATAACATACATTAGTTTTAAAGAATAGAGCACTAAATGAGGTATTTTACTGCGGTAATAATTTTGAAGAAGTAAATGATTGGACTGATGATCCTCTAATTAATACAGTCCGGTAGCCCGTATGATGAACCTGGATTTATCCTTCATACTGTATTTTCTACGTATTTTATATATGATGACACTGTACCAGTTAAGTATTTGGATATATTGATATTTCTTTGCTTTATGCCCTAATGTGATAAGTATTATGTGACATCGTAAAACTCAAGTAAAGGTAGTTTTAGGAAGTGAGTGACGTTTAATAAATAGTTAAAATTCACAAGTATGTATGGCGTTGAGAAAGAATCAAATATTTTAGTGACCTCTCTGTTTTTCAGTTAACATCTAAAAACTGACTTTATATGAATAAAATATGGTATATGTCAGTTTTGGATTATTGCATCTATTAGAATTACAAAGTGTAGTGCTCTCACAGATCCACTTATTAACTTTAAAATATCTGGAAGAATAACTGTCACATTCTCTAGCACAAATTTGGGAAGATAGACTTGAAATTGTCAACGCATACCCATCCATACTCTACTGGATCAATTGGCGGAGTGTCTGAACTAAGGTGGAGTTTCCAAACACACCTTTCAACATAGACCTTCTTTATATTTCAAACTAAGGCTTGGAACTGTCATAACGTAACCATCAATACTAACTGGATCAAGGATGATGAGTCTGAATCAAGTGCACGTTTCCAATTACATGTGTTGAAGATGGACCCACTTTACAATTTTAGCAAAAGCTTCTGTTGTTATTAACAAGGTGTTGAACTTCTGTATTAACGTAGTGTCTTTTCCTAACTTTAATACCCATGATTTCTGCTGTGCTTCTAACATGTTGGCACATTTCAGTTGTCCGTAGCATGCAGTCTTGAATTTGTTTGTTTTCCATTGACATCGAGCATAGAAGTAGTGAGAAGAATTCTTAAAAATGATAGTATTATACAGCAAAAAAAATGCTATTCGAAAAATGATGTCTTTAATTGTACTTAATTAGGTTCAGTATAACAAAACTTCACATTATTGATTTACCCTGACAATTAGTATGTAATACCCAGAAATCAGTATTGCCATTGCTATATTTACTGGTATTTAGCGAACAAATGTTATTAAGGTCATACAGTCCTCTTTAGGTCTGACAAATATTCTGGAGAAGTTAAAGCTGCCAGTTTTCGTCCTTCTAAACCACTGAAGTAAAGAATAAGGTCCCTTTACTCTGAGTGTTCACTTTTTCCTGGCTTGACATGGTATGATAGTTAGGGAAGCCCGGTTCAAAATCTGCTGACCGTGGATCGAATCCCATCACCGAACAGGATCGCCCTTTCAGCTATAGGGGCGTTACGAATGATATAATGACCTAATCGAACTATTCAGTTAGTGTAGCCCAAAGAGTTAGCGATAGGTGATATTGACTACCTGACTTCCCTCTAGTCTATCACTTATAAATGAGGGACGAATAGTGCAGATAATCCTCGAGTGGTTTTGCGCGAAATTCACTAAGCAAACACTTTTCCTTTCCACTTGTAATATCACTGTCCACAGATAAAAGAATCTAGTTAAGGCATTTTATTTAAGGGAGTAAATTAAAGATAAAAAACAAAGACGTCTATTTTTGCAGCGGTAAATATTTTGAAGAAGTAAATCTGAGACTAAGCGGGATTTAAACCCGTACATTTACTCATTGAACTGTTAATTAATATAGTCTGGCAGCCCGTATGGTGAACCTGAATTTATGGTCCATACTGTGTTTTCTACTTGTTCTATATCTTAAGAATTTACGGAGTAAATTAAAGATAGAAGACTGGAACTTCTATTTTTGTGTTCAGCTTACCTTAGCCCTCGAGTTTTACAAACCAAACAGTTTTTCTTGGGTATAATTTGGCAATTAAAAGTAACTTAAGCAAGCGTACAAATAGCCCTCGAGTAGCCTTGGGCGAAATTCAAACCAAACTAAACGTTTTTGTATATGATTAATTAAGGAGGACTGTTTTGATATTTGTTAACTACAACCAGCATGGATAGAAATTCCATTTCTGATAATCATGTTGAATTTCATTAACAATTTCATATATTTTTCTGCCTTCTTTACTCATCTTACGACATTTTACCTTTAGGTTTACATGTTTTTCGGAACTGTGATGATGATCTACCCTTTGGCGTTCCTGTTTACTGTCTTGTTCGAGTCACCGTACATTGCTCTTATCAAAACTATGATCATCATACCGGAAGGAGGCAGTTCGTCAGATCCCTGCGTTATCCAAAACTGTAAAGAAGAGAAGACGCTGCCTTTTAAAAAAGCAGACTGTAATACCAACAAATCGATCTGAAGTTAACACTTAGAAATATTTTAGCTGTTAGCTAACAAGCATGTGATAAAATCTAACAACATGTGGACTGTAATGTCAGTTAACAATAGTTTGTTAGTTGTAGTTCTGTTTTATTGTCTGTCATTAAATGTAAACATATGTATATCAGGGGTCGCTTTCGATTCACGTGCAGAGGCAACATCCAAAGGATGTAACGAGATGAATATTTTTTTGTATTTTACTTAGGAAGAAACTTTCGTGAATTGACAATACTTTTACTAAATGATAGATTTGAATTTGTGGAAAGTTTATACAAACGAAAACATATTTTTGATATAAGAGAAGTAGCATTCTAATTGTATCAAAAAATTATTTCCCATATTAGAGATAAGGACTAGTTTGGTAACAGAATTAGGATGACTGTTTAAAAATTCTGCTAATATAACTACATTATAAAAGTGTTTGATTGACAAGTTTCTGGGGCATAGGTATTTTTATAAATACGATTTCATATTTTGATGAGTCTGGATTTATATTGTGTTTGAATAGTGAAGATTACTTTTACAACACAAATCGATATTAGGAACTTTTTAAGATAATTATATAAGCTGTATTTTACAAATCAAATAAAACTCAACTCTGTGTTTAAGTGTTTTATCATCTAGTTATGAAATTGTAGGTAAAGAAACCGAAGCAAACCTGTCATATTTGAAAAATAATAAAAAAAAATATGATCAAACATAAAAAAATATACAGAATTGGGTGAAAAACAAAATATGAAAACAAAATCACACGAAATATTGAAAACACTAATTTTGGCTGAAATAGGGAAGTCAGCATTGATGAAGCTTAACGCTACGATACGAAATAATTCTGAAAATTTTAACAAAGGTGAACCACGCATCAGCACTGAGGCGATAAACAAATTATAATGTATGTGAAGGTCAGAGGTGAAAAGTCATAAAAACATGTAATGTAATGTATATATATATATGGACTAAATATTTGAATATCCTTTCTGAAAATCTCGTTTCCACGTGGGATGGCGGTAAGTCTGCGGACTTACGATGCTTAAATCCGAGGTTTGTTTCCCCGCGGTGGACAAAGCAGATAACTCAAATGTGGCTTTGCTCTAAAAATCCACCCAGCAACTCTAACAATCTTTTATTGGAAACCAAGTTTTGTTTAGTTACATGTGATTAAGTTTAATATTTAATAATAAGTAACAATCAGCTATTCTATACCCGCCTGTATTATAACAGTTTATGTTTTCACTCTGATCAATTGAATAAAGAACAAGTGTTGACAGCTCCTACTCCTTAACCTGATTGAGAAACTACATCGTAGAACAAGCAACCCACCACATGTACTCGTAGAACAAACAACTCCCACATGTATTCGTAGAACAAGCATCCCACCACATGTACTCGTAGAACAAACAACTCCCACATGTATTCGTAGA